GCAGTCAAACACAGCCATAAACACAATGTCTCCATGTGTGTCAATGTGTGTGTGTGTGTGTGTGTGTACAGGTGTGTGTGTGTGTGACTGCTTTGTGCATGCGTTATATGTGAGAGATTTCTATTAGAGCTGTGAAATTTGTTTCAGTTCACGTTGCACTGGAAAAGTTCATTAGAATCAACTAGAGAACTAGTTCGAAATTCGTTCACGGGATTATGTTCCAGATTAAATGGGAATATGTACATAATTTTGAAGTGATTTCATATGCAGCTGTGCCATTTACTTTAAAATAGTGCTTGGTTCATATGAACTAGTGAATGAATTTTTAGTGATAAGCTATTTTAAGGAACTGCCAGAGATTCATGATAATGAATAATTTATAAGAAGAGCTGTTTCAGTATTTAAATATGATCTATAGCAGACTTCTGCTCAGCTCACGAGTCAGTAATGAACAAATCGAACTGGAACTAGCAGCACTCATATCTGTAGAGGCTTTCACAGTAAGGTCTGGAGTGCGGCCAAGTGCTTGATGCCCGAAAAAGAACAAAAACTATTAAAGTAAGTGGAAATGGGCGCATTAGAGCGCACACACACACACTCACGCACGCATAACAGGCCCCAGGGACGTAGAGGCGCTGTGGAGCGGGGCGGATGAGTGGACAGGGGGGCGCCTGTCTGCCATTCAAACGCTTGAGCGCTTCGGGCTGGACAGACGGAAATAGTGGGCAGCACCCTCTACGGAACCTTTTTATGCGCTTTAAGTTCTTTTTATGAAAACATAAAAATAAAATCGTATTAAAAAATAAATGTGAACTCTGAACTGTAAACTGTGAACTGCAAAAAATAATTTTCGCTCTCAGATTTTTGTTCATGGAATTTTTATGTGATTTTCGATTTCCATTTACAGTTTGCATTGCAATGCCCGCCCATTGAATGCTAGAGCAGTATATGGACGAGCACTCTCTGGTAATCTCTTCCAGCTTAAGGAACGGAATCGAGTATGCTTGACTTCAGTCAGTAATGCTTCAATTGATTTAATAGTTCTATTATCCATTCAGATATACATATATGATTTAATTATATTTTATATATTATTTATCATCTTCTATTTCATTTCTCTATAAGTGACCTTCTTCCCGCTAGCTGAGCGAGTATCTGGCAGTCAGATGCCACCCACTTTTGATGTGCGATTTCATCTCCACGTAACACGCGGCGTATGCGTAATATGCAAATTGCGAACAGGGCTTACGCCCTCGCTGGCAAAGGGTATTTGAAGTGACTCAGCAGGCGTGATTCATTAATAAAGCGTCGCAAACGGCGAACTCAAGTCACTTGGGGCGTGGCATTTGGGCTGCTTCATTAGCTGCATTAGAGACGTGCCCAGAAGGCTCCGGCCCAAGGCGTTGACCGACAATAAAATGAACAGCATCAAATGCAGAGCCTCTCCAAATGCCACAAATATAATTAATGACAATGGTCACACATAGAGAAGAAGAGGAAGAGGAAGAGGGAGAGAGAGCGAGAGGGAGAGCGCTCTTGTTTGTCTATGACAAATGTGGCGTGGCCTTAACTCTGACAAACTTTAATGGAAGCTCAAATGAAATTTGTGTAAATGAATATGCGTAACCACATAAATGCATATACATAATATGAACATATTTATATATCTATATACCGGCTAGTCGGGCCCGGATATAACGCTAACTAAGTGCCGCATTTGCAGCATCCGGTCTAGACTTGATTATCCTCAGCTTCACTTTTGGCCCACGCTGTGCGGCTGGCCAGGCGCCATCTAAGGCAGCAGCTGCTCCAGCCAAATGAGCTGCTTACTTGGGGATAGAAGAAAGTAGGCGAACGGGCATGCACGACCGAGCAATGCATTGTATGGTAGAGAGAGAAAAAAAATGAAAAAACAATGTGGAAAATGGGAAATCTGTAACAGAAATGAAAAGACTTTGTCAGAGCAGCCACAAAAGACAGGAAAATTAATGGTTCTAGAGGGGGATAAGACACGCTTTAGAAATCTGTGTAGCCTGGTATATAGAATACTTCGATTCATGTCTCGAAAAATAGCTAGAAATAGCGAAAGAAAGTCTAAAAACAGAGCTCAAGGCGAAGCACTTGAAAGCAAATTTATTAAACCGGAATCATTTAACTAGGCGTGCCCAAGTGGGCGTGTCACAGCCTGCCCGCTTGGACTATGCATGACAACTAATATCAACTTTTTTGCACATTATAAACAGAGTACGGGAGAGTGAGGGCGAGCGAAAGAGATGGGAGAGATGGGAGAGTAAAAATGGAAAAATATCAGCCAAAGGCAAGCATGCCACATGCCGCAGCTATGTCGATGTGTGTGTGCGTGCGTGTGTGTTTATGGATGTGTGTAAATGTGCCTGTTATTCCCCATTTGCAGCTGGGGCAGCAGAACGTTTAATCTACCATAAACACATGACTGCGTATTTATGAGTCTGCCAATGTGTGCGTGCATGTGCGTGTGTGTGTGGGTGTGTGCGCCACGGCAGGTGAGTGCTTCAGCTAAGCCGTTGTGATTTTTCTTGGCTTTTTGTCTCGGCCACACTTCGCATACAGGAAGCTCAGTCAATAAGTTAACCCAAACAGCGCAAAGTTGTGCCGCTCTTTGGTTTTTTTTTTTTTTATGCCTTCTGGCTTTAACTTTTCGCATTCATAATTCAAGGCTAAGCAAATGCAGCGCAAAAGCAAAAACATTTCAAATGTTTATTTTTCACATACAAAAAAAAGGCGAATGCAATTAAGTTACGTCTGAACGGCAGATGTAATTAGCAACAAGGTTTTATAATTATTCAAAATAATATTTGTTTTTTCATTAATTAGCTTTAACAAATAAATAAATGGCAGCTGCAAATAGCATATACATATGAGCGTATATTTAGTATGTTAAAGGGCAATATTTTGCTTTCATCTTTAATTTGACTAGCGCAGCGCGAGCTAAGAAGAAATGTCAGCTCTCTCTCTCTCTCTCTCTGGCGCAGTTGCTCGTGCCTCTACATCTGCGCCAAGCAAAGCCTCTCGGATGCTAAAACGACGAGCGTCGGCCTAGCATGATCAAGCTCATTGGGTGAGATGAGACGAGAGTGAAATGAGCATGTGAAGAATTGCGTGACAAGTGAATCGACTGAAAGCAATCCATATACAATACATATGGAGATTATAAATGTGTTGGACCTTCAGCTCTTTGGAACAACACTCAGTGTCTTTAAGGAAGAGGGTCTTAGAAGAAGATGATTTATAACGCCGTAAAAATCTCTTTATTGTGAGTGTCTTATAACTTGCCCGGTTATGCCCATTCACTTACTTTTCGGATATTTAACTGAGGCAGATGGACTCTGCTGCTATTTGGCAATTTAAAGTTGAAGTAAACCTGAACGAACCAATTAAATTAAGAACAGAAAAGATACATTTTGCTATCAAGGAAATAAAATATTGTAAAATTGTATACATAAGGCTAATTGAGCACATCTTACAAAGCTTTGGAAGATGCCGCGCACCGAAAAATAATGTTGTGAATAAAAATAATGTTGTGAATAAGAAAAATAGAGCTATAGACTTTAAGTCGATACCCGAAACATTCTGTCTTGAGGCTGATGGCAGCTGAGCTTCCCCTAGATTATACAGTTACTTTCCGCCACTCCCCTAATGGAGTCAGAACTAAAGTCTGTCGTCGCTAGTACAAAACTAATATACTCTATTGCATCCCCTTGAATGAGCATACAAATATCTAATATTTATTTAAATATTTTTTATAATTTTTATTATGCACAGATTTTGATATTTTGCATATTTTTTCATTCTTCTGGCTGGCAGTGGCTCAGCCTAATCCCAACGCTAGATTCCGTTCGGGCTTGTCTAGAAGAAGTCTTAACTGCTTTTTAACACACACACTGCACACACACACACACAGCACACACACACAGCACACATACACTCGCACATACGCACATCCCTTAATAGAGCAACAGCTTTTGGGCTTGGGATTCAAATCCGATTATAGAAAAGGCAATGTAAATGTAAAAGGACATAAATACAGCAACTCGTGTTGCTCTCTTCCTCTTTCCTCCCTTTCTTTTCTTTATTCATATTTATTTCACAATTTTTGAATTTATTGCTGAGTTGCAAAACAAGTGGCTGCGAGGCAAGCTGCAGGCGAGGCCCCAAAAAAAAGAAAGAACTTGAAGTGCCTTTTTTTGGATGGAGAAGGCGAGGGAGGAAGAGCAATGGGGCAGAGCAGAAGGAGACGGCGGACTGGTGGGAGTTGGAGAACTGTGAGGAAGAGCAGAAGTACAAGTCGTGGCAGGAATTGGAATCAGAGAAGCAGGGGAAGATGTAGATGGTGCAGGACAGCAGGAAGAAGAGCAGCAGCAGGAGCAGGAGCAGGTGCAGGAGTGGGAGTATGATAAAGTAAGAAATTGAGGAAACAGGATCAGGATGTAGCAGAAGCAGGAGGAATATGAAGCACCTGGCAGAGCAGGAGCAGGAGCAGCAGCAGCAGGAGCAGGAGCAGGAGTTGAAGCAGAAGCATCACCCACATGCCAACGTAATAAAAATGCACAGCACTACTTCGAACAGAATTCCAGGCAGAGATGCCTCCTGCTGCCCTTCCCCTGCCCCGCCATGCCCACAAGAGGCGGGCGGATTAGTCGGCAGCTTGTCGGGAATCCTTCAATATTCGAAAATTTTAATGCGCTTACAATAAATTTTCATTAGGCAATCGTCAGCAGATCAACGACGACGGCAATCGTAAACACAATTTGTGTATTAACTGTGCTAGCCAGACCGTTACACCTAGACACTGTGGCAGCAATTGTTGCTGCTGCTGCTGCTGCTGCTGCTGCTATTGTTGTTGTTGACATTTAAGTCCTTAATGCGCTCGTAAAATGCAAGACGGCAACTCGCACGCACGCACACACACACACACACACCTAGCGACACTCACTGGGTCAGAGAGATTTAGTTGGGCTTACCTGGCGTATACTTAATCGCCGAATGCTGTAAAAACACTGCGGCTGGACGAAAGGTCAACGACGAGATTGATTAAGCACCTGATTTATTACAGTTACACTTTTGCACACACACACACATACATATATATGTATATCTGTTTATATATATCTTCACTCCTGTCACAGTCCTTATTAGGCTCGAGTCTATTTTCAATGCTTTCGCTTTGGGCTGCGAGACGCGCGCGTCGCTCACAATTTGTTGACTGGCTCGTGCTTGGATTCGCGCCTGGCTTTTATTAACTGCCGCCAACTGTTTGCCGCACAGCATTCAAAACACAACACGTTGCACGTCCGCTTGCAACCAAAACAAACCTTCCAGCGGCTCAGCGCGCAGACGCATTGCGTCCGCAGGAAACGCAGGAGCTTCTAGCAGCGTTGCCTCTGCCTCTGCACTTAGCCGGGACTCGAACCGCAGAGCTTTTCGGCCGCTTGGACTGGAAGCGCTGTGCGACCAGAACATGTTCGCAGCAGCTGCTACCAATTGGCCCCGTCTGAAGGCGACTTGGCCAACTGCGTTCAGCGTGCAGCCCTTAAGGCAGCTGCTGCTGCGGCTCTGCCGCTCTATAAGTAACTCCAGTCTAGTTCAAACTCTTTCTTAGCCTCACAAAGACTGATCAACTTGGAGACAGTTATAGTCTAGTTAGGTTCGACTCATATCCCATCAGGCTGCAGAATCCGAATTGGGTTTAAATACTTTAGCGAAAATAGATGAATTTTCTCAGACTTTAGTGGATTTTCTTTTTGTAAACAAGTCAAAATATCTCTTAGTTTCTCCATTCATATTTGATTTCTTTTTTACTAATGAAAGGACATCCTTCATCGTTCCCAATTTGCTTCAGATGTTCTTTTTTTTCAATTGTTTTCCACTTGGGTCTTAACTTGTTTTCAATTTTATTTTTCATTTGACTACACTAGATTTTCTCATTGCTTCATATCTATTTTCCGATTTCTTCAACGTTGGCTTACATCTATTTTCACTTCTTCTTTTCCACTTATTCATCATTAGCGGTCCACTTATGTTTCAAATGATTTTCAGTAATTTTCCACTTCAATATGGTTTTCACTGAATTTTTAATTGACTTTTCATTTATTTTCGCCACAAAAATACATATTTCTAAATGAATCATCAAACGCTTTCACAACCAATATGAATAAAATTGATTAGAATTTATTCGACTCACCCTAGGGAGTTGATATTCAAATCGGCTTTATATTTCCAATTAGTTGGCCAGGCGTGGCCTAAATCGTAACTAACCACAGTTGTGTTTGTATTTTAACTAGATGCCACAAAGAGTTTTCTTTATTAGGCATAGGTCTGAAACCCAAACACCTGCCCCTGCTCCCCCAGCCCCTGTGAAGCTGTCAAACAACTGTTAGTAAATTGAACTAACCTCGAGCCCTGCACCCACCCCCCTACCGCCCAAAAAAAAGTAAAAGAAGACAAAATACGTAACACAAACAAACGCAACTGTAGGCGACGACACGACTCCCTCCGTCCCTCCGTCCCTTACGTCCCTGCGGCTTCGTCCTCGATGCGTAGCCCAGGCAACGATTGGCAGCTCCTGCCCAGGTAGCCCTGACTCATATTGCGAGCCGAACCGCAATGCCAAATGCCAATATAAAGTAACTGATAGGCTTACAATTAGCTTGCGAAATGGGCACTCGAATGGGGCAGCGTCTGTCAACACGCTGGCTCGAGCCCCCGCGTCGCCCTCTCGCCCACTCGCACCGGCATTGACTGAGGGGACTCGACTCGAACTACTTACAAATGTTAATAAGACGCAGAGCGACGAACGTCGAGCGCCGAACGAGCTAATCAAATAAATGTAACTCGGGCCAAGTCAAATAGACACAAATTGGGTCTTTGCGCCCTGAAACTATATTTATTGCAATTTCGTAAATATCTAGTGGAAATCCAGTACGATATGTATTTGGATATTCTCTTCAATATACCAGTAGAGCTACTCTCTCTATATATACTTCAGTTCAAACGTGTTGACAACGTTCTGCACTTTGCATTCTGACAGAGCCACAAAAAAGAAAAAGCGAGAGAGAATAAGGGCGACAGTCACGCCCTCTGCTCTCTGCCCTCTGTCCCCGGCTACGCCCATTTCCATTGATAGCAACAACCTTTGGCAAACATGTCCAAGTTTTTCATTAACCTGACTCGACCAGATACGCACGATGGCAGCTGTCTACGCTGAAGCGTTAACATCTCCGCCTCCAACATCACACACGCACACAGATAGTTGGGCCGCCCCTCACGATACCCTGTAAATATTGGAAATCTCACAGACTTTTCATTTTTTCCTTATTAAAGGGTATTCCTCAGTCAGTCACGTTGCTCTAAAGCACTGTAACTCTTTGCTTTTATTTATGCTTAAACACATGTGTAAAAGCTAATAAGATTTTCACATTTGCTAGCCAAATTGTTTTTCAAATACAGGGTATCTCTAGGTCATATATGCTTACGCAGCTGACTTTGCGTCGATTTTTTATGATAGCGGGAATCTTATCTAAGGTCCAACATAATTTACTAACTTAAGTTACAAGATTACAGGGTATCTCGTAGTCAGTCACGATAGTCTAATTCAGCATTGTACTATTTTTCGGTTCAGAATTTAGCAATAGCTGCCGCTGATTGAAGGTTTCCCAAGGTTTCATTAGTTTTTTTTCAATGACAGGGTATATGTTGGTCAATCATATTTACATATTTATAGCACTTTGAATACCCTTGCTCGACATGTAGAGTTACATATGTAATATTTCCCCTTTTGTCTGGCTATATTTCCTCTAGAAATTGAACTGTATATTGGCATACAGGGTATCTAAAGGTCAGGCAAGAGCACATATAATCATTTAAATGTCTTTCCTTAAGAGTTGTTAGCCTATTTAACTTAACTTTAGTCGGATGGTATTTGCTGTCAATCTAGTATTGGCAGACAGGGTATCTCTCGGTCGATCACTCGCTCTGTTGCATGTTTTAATGATGCTTTTTGCAGTTACAGTGAGCCAATGGCAGTCGTGAAGCGTTCATGGCTAACGTCTGCAACCCAAACACGTATTTTTATTAACACTTTTTGCGGTAGCTTTACAAAGTGTGTGTGTGTATGTGTGTGTTTGTGTGTGTGTGTGTATTTCAAGTGAAAGTGCATTTAAAATTGTTTTTTGGGTTGCTCAATACGAATTTCAATTTGGTTTCCTGCAAAAATTTGTTGCTTTTCGCTTTTCGCTGATGCACTTTGAGCTCTGCGCTGACATTTAGCCCGAATAGAACAACGAGAAGAAGCAGAAGAGCTGGCTGATAGAACTGATCCCGAGAAGTGGAAGCTGTGTGGGCAGCTCCTTCTCAAGTCTCCCTCCTGGCGGAATTGTGATAAATGTGATTGCGAAACGCCTGCGGGAAACTTTCTGAAAATTAAATGCCAATTGCAATATGCAAACAAAATGTGCACAAAGCGAATGCCATGGCAGAGAGGGGGAGAGGAGATTTGGAAACTCTTTGCCTGGCCGGAGTGTGTTAAGGTGCGCATGACATAATTCCTTAATTACCAAAGTTGTCACAGGCAGCTGCAAGGCAGCAACATTTATAATAATCACAACTATAACTCTACGCTCACCTCTGGCACACCTGTAGTTACCTGGAAAGCAAGAAAAGCTACACATAACTGACATGTGCACAATTGCGCCTAGCTCCGGGTGGCTGCAGATGCCTAAGCCAGCCAAGGCCAAGCAGAGCAGCAGCAGAGCAGCAGCAGCAGCAGCCTCTGCCTCTTGGCTTTAGAATATTTGTAGCTGATTTCAAAATAAACGAACAGCTTACGTATATTAACTGGCGAGCTATTCAGATAGCAGATAAGCCAGCTCTAGTAGGGGGTCTAGTAGGGGGTTTATATGCCCTGAGGACGGCTCTCACATGCAGCAGGAGAGAAAGGATCAATCTCTAGTGATTCCTGCTGCAACGTTCTCGACCCTCGGAAAAATATTCAAACTTGCTGCGCTTGACAGCAATGGAAATAGATAGATATATACTTCGATTTGCCACGCCCCCTTTAGCCGCTTCATGGAAGCTTAACAATCAATTGAGAAATGCTCTGCATACATCTCTATCTAGCTGTAAAGCTAAGTAAAGACACATTCGATACTCGATACTCAATATATCGATGCTCGAATGCTGCCGCACTCGATAGTTTTGTGCTGTCCTCCTGCATATCGATATTGAATTTGTTCAGCGTTGCATTCATTGAATTATGAATGCAAGTTTATCTCGTTCTTTTCATTTGTTCAGAGCATGATGCATTCGTGCAGCTGTTGGTGACAGGCAAGAGAAGGCCTTATATGTATAGCCCATCAAATAGTCGAGTCGAACTGGCCATGAGAGAGAGAGAGAGAGAGAGAGAGGGAGAGAGCTATGAGAGCTGCGTAGAATGAGTGGAATATGTACGACATCTTCTAGTCGTGCCCTTTTGCTTGTTCGCTGTCTTCTTCTTCTTCTTCATCTTTATTTATTTCGATTTTTACCTCCCTAATTGCCAGCGTTTGCCAATTTAAGCGCTACTGTTGTCGTTGCCAAGGAGTTGTCAGCGCCAGCAACAGCAGCAGCTGCTGCCACATCAATGTGCCTCTTCGTTGCGCAGCCCGCCGCCCCAATGCCATCTCCTACACAGCTTAACCTTGTAGCGCAGTTGCAATTGCCAATCGCCACCTTAGTACTAAAATTTGCTTCTTATTTGCTGTTGTTGTTGGTGTTGGTATTGCTGGCGTTGTTGCTGCTGCTGCTGTTGCTTCTATTATTGCTGTTCTAGGTGCTGTTGTTGCTGATATTCGTATTGCTGGCGTTGCTGCTGTTGTTGTGTATTATTGCTGTTGCTGCTGCTGTTGTTGCTGCTGCTGTTGTTGCTGATGCTGCTGTTGCTGCTGTTGCTGTTGTTGCTGCTGCTGTTGCTGGTATTCGTAGTGCTGTTGCTGGCATTGCAGTATTCATTGTTGCTGGTGTTCGTATTGCTGCTGCTGTTGCTGCCTCTGTTGTTGCTCTCGCTGCAGCTGCTGTTGTTGGTGCTGCTATCACAGTTGTTGCTATTGCTATTGCTTTTGTTGCTGCTGTTGCTGCTGCAGCGCGTCGCATTTCCTTCCGTTTCCGCTGCCGCTTCCGTTTCCACTGTGGTTTCTGCCGTCATTT